GCCAGAGAATATTTTTTGCATAGTGGATACAATAAGCAATATTTGAATATTATTATGCTGGTTCTAAATGAGCTATCAAAATGGTCCAATAAATAATAGAGATAATACAGTGTGGAGCTGGAGGAACACAGCAGGCCAGGCAGCATCAGAGGAACAGTGCATTCCAGATTCTTACCACCCTCTGGGGGAAAAATGTTCTCCTCAAATCCTCTCGAAACCTGCTGCCCTTCACCTTAACATTAATTTCTTTCATTATTGACCCTTCAGTGGAGAGGTGATGGCCTAGTGGTAGTATCGCTGGATCCAGAGACCCAGGTAGTAATCTGGGGACCCAGGTTTGAACCCTGCCATGGCAGATGGAGGAACCTGAATTCAGTTTTTAAAAAATCTGGAATTAAGAGTCTAATGATGATCCATTGTTGATTGCAGAAATACCCATCTAGTTCAGGAAACTGCCATAATTTCCTGGTTTGGTTTACATGTGACTCCAGACCCACAGCAATGTGATTGACTTTTAACTGGCCAGCATGGGCAATGAACGCTGGCCTAGTTGGCGACACCCTCGTCCCATGAAACTGAGCATGTGTAGGGCTACAACTGATTTGGTACCATTTGCCTGTGAAACTCTTTGCCTCATATCCAGTTCCATTCATTGCAATCACCTGAATCTTGGAATACCCAACTGTGGGCAGCAACCATGCTTTTGTCTGAGTTACAAGCCTGGTTCCTGTTCTCAGTTACAGGGAAGTCCCTTTTTCAAATTCCACCATCTTCTGATAGCGTGATGATGATAGCTTTGTGCCAAATTCCTACTGTGCCAACGAGTGACACTGTAACTGCTGTCCCACACACTCTGGCACCGGTCTCTGAAAAGTCCTGCCTTTTGCGGGGCTCTTACTTTACAATGACATTTCAAATTTTATGAGCTATGAGTCATGTGTAGTACGATGGCTCAGTGATCAGCACTGCTACCTCACAGTACCAGGTACCAGGGTTCAAATCTCTTTACTCAGAGAGTAGTAAGGGCGTGGAATGCCCTGCCTGCAAAAATAGTAGACTCGCCAACTTTAAGGGCATTTAAATGGTCATTGGATAAATATATGGATGATAATGGAATAGTTTAGGTCAGATGGGCTTCAGATTGGTTTCACAGGTCGGCGCAACATCGAGGGCCGAAGGGCCTGTACTGCGCTGTAATGTTCTATGTTCTATGTTCTATTCCAGGGCTGGGTGACTGTCTGTGTGGAGTTTGCATGCTCTTGCTATGTCTGTGTGCATTTGCTCTGGGTGCTCTGGTTTCCTCCCACCGTCTAAAGATGTGCAGGTGAGGTGGACTGGCTGTGCTAAATTGCCCCATCTGGCAATGTGCAGGTTAGGTGGATTAGCCATGGGAAATGTGATTACAGGGATAGGGTGGGATGCTCTTTGCAGGGTCAGTGCAGACCTGATGGGGCTAATGGCCTCTTCCTGCAGTGTGGGAATTCTATGGCTTCTGGCTAAGAGAACAGCCTATTAGGCGTGTATTCTGAGTATGCTTCAGCATAATAGAATGGAAGTCAGGACCTCTAATCAATCCATTTTAGTTTCCACAGGAATACAGAAGTTCAAGAAGTTGAAAAAAAAAGTAATCTATGCAATTCCAAAGTGTCACAATAATGGTGATACCGTTTTATGTAAACTCAACTCCCAACATAGATCCTTGGTCACAGACACTGGACAGATGCCACATTTGTTCAAATGTATTTCACTCTCTTCCCCCAACAAGACCAGGGTGTCATGGTGGAACAGTCGCTGAAGGTTGGCAATGCAGGCAGTGAGGAAAGCTAATGGCATGCTGGCCTTCGTAGCAAGAGGATTTGAGTATCGGAGTAAGGATGCCTTGCTGCAGTTATACAGGGTCTTGGTAAGGCCACACATTGAGTATTGTGTGTTGTTTTAGTCTCCTTGTTATTGAGGGAGTCCAGCGAAGGTTCACCAGACTGATTCCCGGGATGGCAGGACTGACATATGAGGAAAGACTGGATTGACTGGGCTTGTACTCACTGGAATTTAGAAGAGCATGGGCGGATCTCATAGAAACCTATAACATCTTGATGGGACTGGACATGCTAGATGCAGGAAGGATATTCCTGATGTTGGGGAAGTCCAGAACTAGGGGTCACAATCTAAGAATAAGGGGTAAGCCATTCAGGACTGAGAAGAGGAAGGATCTCTCCTCTCAGAGAGTTGTGAACCTGTGGAATTCTCTCCTACAGGAAGTTGTTGGGGCCAATTCATTAGACATATTGAAGAGGGAGCTGAACGTGGCACTTGCAGCTAAAGGGATCAAGGGATATGGAGAGAAAGCAGGAATGGGACACTGAGATTGCATGATCAGCAATGGTCATATTGAATTGTGGTGCAGGCTCGAATGGCCGAATGGCCTACTCCTGCACCTATTTTCTATGTACCTATGTTGTAAACCTTCTCCCATTCCGAAATCCATGGAGGTACTTTATCCAAGTGGTGCCATGTGAGATTTGACCCTGGCAGTAATGATACACAGTTCTGACGGCAGTAACAACATTCACTGGTGCTAGAGATAGTAGGAACTGCCGATGCTGGAGAATCTGAGATAACAAGGTGTAGAGCTGGATGAACACAGCAGGCCAAGCGGCATCAGAAGAGCAGGAAAGCCGACATTTGGGGTCTGGACCCTTCTTCTGATATTTCTGAAGAAGGGTCCGGACCTGAAAAGTCAGCTTTTCTGTTCCTCTGATGCTGCTTGGCCTGCTGTGTTCATCCAGCTCTACACCTTGTTATCTCATTCACTGGTGCTAGTTTTGTCCGGTGTAAGCTTGAGAGAGGGGTCCCCTCTTCTGGATGAATATTTGAAGTGGAGGGAGATATGGAGGCTTGGGTAGTTCTAGAAATAAGCCTGCACAGACAGAATGGAGCGACTGATCTGTTTGCAAGGCTTTAAATACTGTGTTAAAATGAAGAATAGATGCACGATTGAAAACAATAACCTAGCAACGAGAACATTTGCCATTGATGAGGGAAGTGACCCTGCCTTGCTCAAAATAAGCCTGGGATTCTTCCAAAGCCTGCTCAGAAACTGCAGTTGTACTGCAAAGATTCAGAAGAATTATTTAGAAACAGGGTTAATTCATGAACAACTGTTAGGTAGTACAGGAAGGAAAATTCAATAATGAAGATCATCGCTTTATGGTCCTAGGAATGATAAGAACATTAAAAATGAAACAAGCAACAGAAAAATTGCAATTATATATGGTTTCTCATTACCACTGGGTTCTCAAAGCATCTTACAGTCAAAAAGGTCATTTTTGAAATGAAGGAAAGTCAGTAAGTGAGGGAAATGTGGCAGCCATTTTGCTCACAGCAAGCTCCACAAACAGTGATGCGATATTGAGCAGATAATCTGTTTTGCTGATGATGCTTGAGGGATAATTATCATAGAATTCCTACAGCGTGGAAAAAGGCCATTCAGCCCATCGAGTCCATACCAACCCTCTGAAGAGCATCCCACCCCATCCCTGTAACCCATTTCCCATGGCTAATCTACCCAACCTGCACATCTATCGATTCAGGGAGGAAACCCACGCAGACACAGGAAGAACGTGCAAACTCCACATAGACAGTTGCCTGAGGCTGGAATTGAGCCTGGACCCCTGGTGCTGTGAGGCAGTAGTGAGCCACCGTGCAAACTGGCTCCCTGTTTGGGGCTCCTGTGACATGGTAGTAGTGTCCCTATATCAGGGTCAGGAGACCTGGGTTCTAATTCCATCCCCTCAGAAGTGTATCTGAACAGGTTAGAATGAGGAAAAAATGAAGGTCATGGATTTAGGTGAACCTTTAGGACACACATCAAACATCAAACTGCTATTTCTTCTAGCTAAAACTGGGCGACTTAAACACAAAATAGACAAATAAATCCACAAGGAATTCATGAAAAACTGTGTGCGTAGAACTTGCTATCAGATGATTCAACTGAGCTGAATTTTTTTCCCCTTTATTCATTCATGGGTTGAGGGTATCACTAGCCAGGCCAGCATTTATTGCCCATCCCTAATTGCCCAAAGGGCTGGTTGAGAGTCAATCACATTGCTGTGGGTCTGGAGTTGCATGTAGGTCAGACCAGGTAAGGATGGCAGTTTCCTTTCCTAAAGGATATTCGTGAACCAAATGGGGTTTTCCAACAATTTGTGGCCATTATAGAAACTTCGGTAACTCAGGGACAGGAAGTTCCGGGATTTAGACGCTTTAAAAGAAATAGGGAGGGTGGTAAAAGAGGTGGGGGAATGGCATTGCTAGTCAGGGCGAGTATAGCAGCTACTGAAAGGCAGTTCGAGAATGATATGTCCACAGAGTCAGTTTGGGTTGAGGTCTGGAACAAGAAAGGAGCAGTCACTTTGTTGAGGGTCTTTTACAGACCCCCTAATAGTTGCAGAGAAGTGGAGGAGCGGATTGGGAGGCAGATACTGGAAAGGTGCAGAAGTCACAGGGTTGTAGTCATGGGTGACTTCAACTTTCCAAATATTGATTGGAAACTTTTTAGTTGTAATAGTTTAGATGGAGCGGATTTTGTCCAGTGCGTTCAGGAAGGATTCCTGACACAGTATGTAGATAGACCAACACGAGGAGAGGCCACTTTGGATTTGGTGCTTGGCAATGAACCGGGCCAAGTGCTAGACCTGTTGGTAGGACAACATCTTGGCGGTAGCGATCATAACTCTGTTACTTTTACAATAGACATGGAAAAGCATAGGTACATACAGCAGGGTAAGGTTTATAATTGGGGGAAGGGTAATTATAATTCTGTTAGGCAAGCACTGGGTAACATAAAATGGGAACAGATGCTGTCAGGGAAGAGCACTATAGAAATGTGGAGATTGTTTAAGGAATGCATACTGCGTGTGCTCGATATGTTTGTCCCTAGCAGGCATGGAAGATGTGGTCGAGTGAGGGAGCCTTGGTTCTCAAGAGAGGCCGAACGACTTGTTAAGAGGAAGAAGGATGCTTATATAAGGTTTAGGAAACAAGGATTGGAAAAGGCTCTAGAGGGATACAAGTTAGCCAGGAAGGAGCTGAAGAAAGGACTTAGGAGAGCTATAAGGGGGCATGAGAAAACCTTGGCAGATAGGATCAAGGAAAACTCCAAGGCTTTTTACACGTACGTCAGGAATAAGAGAATGACCAGAGAAAGGGTAGGGCCAATCAAGGATTGTAAAGGGAATTTGTGCACGGAGCCTAAAAAGATAGGAGAGGTCCTTAATGAATACTTTTCTTCGGTATTCACAACTGAGAGGGACCTAGTTGTAGGGGAGGACAGTGTGAAACAGACTGGTAGGCTAGAGGAGGTGGATGTTTGTAAGGAAGATGTACTAGGAATTTTGAGGAACTTGAAGATAGATAAGTCACCCGGGCCTGATGGGATTTACCCAAGGATTCTATGGGAAGCGAGGGAAAAGATCGCAGGGCCTTTGGCGATGATCTTTTCGTCCTCACTGTCCTCGGGTACAATGCCAGAAGATTGGAGAGAGGCAAATGTCATTCCCTTGTTCAAAAAACGGAATAGGGATAACCCCGGAAATTACAGGCCAATTAGACTTACGTCAGTAGTGGGCAAATTATTGGAAAGGGCTAGATAGGATTAATGATCACTTGGATAGGCACAGTTTGATTCGTGATAGTCAGCATGGATTTGCGAGGGGTAGATCATGCCTCACAAACCTTACTGAATTCTTTGAAGAGGTGACCAAACTCGTGGATGAAGGTGGAGCAGTGGATGTGGTATACATGGATTTAAGTAAGGCGTTTGATAAAGTTCCCCATGGTAGGCTCATGCAGAAAGTAAGGAGGCATGGGATAGGCAGATTGGATTCAAAATTGGCTGACCCTTAAAAGACAAAGGGTGGTAGTGGACGGAAAATATTCAACATGGTGCTCAGCTATGAGTGGTGTACCGCAAGGATCTGTTCTGGGTCCTCTTCTATTTGTGATTTTTGTAAATGATTTGGATGAAGGAGTGGAAGGGTGGATGAGCAAGTTCACGGATGATACGAAGGTGGGTCACGTTGTGGACAGTGCGGAGGGCTGTTCTAGGTTACAAAGGGACATTGATAGGACGCAGAGCTGGGCTGAGAAGTGGCATATAGAGTTTAACCCTGAAAAGTGTGAGGTGATTCATTTTGGAAGGACAAACTTGAAAGCAGAATACAGGGTTAACGGAAAGATCCTTGGCAGTGTGGAGGAGCAGAGGGATCTTGGGGTTCATGTTCACAGTTCCCTGAAAGCTGCCACCCAGGTGGATAGAGTTGTTAAGAAGGCGTATGGTGTGTTAGCTTTCAATAAGAGAGGGATCGAGTTCAAGAGCCGTGAAGTTATGCTCCAGCTATACAAAAACCTGGTTCGGCCACATCTGGAGTATTGTGTCCAGTTCTGGTCACCTCATTACAGGAAAGATGTGGAAGCGTTGGAAAAGGTGCAGAGGAAATTTACCAGGATGTTGCCTGGAATGGAGGGAAGGTCTTACGAGGAAAGGTTGAGAGAGCGAGGGCTTTTCTCTTTAGAACGACAAAGGATGAGAGGTGACTTGATAGAGGTGTACAAAATGATGAGAGGTATAGATAGAGTAGACAGCCAGAGACTTTTTCCTAGGGTGGAGGTAGCTTTTACGAGGGGATATAGTTTTAAAGTGAAAGGAGGTAGGTATCAGGGAGACGTCAGAGGTAGGTTCTTTACTCAGAGAGTGGTAGGAATGCGTTGCCGGAGAGGGTAGTGGAGTCGGCCTCATTAGGGGCATTTAAGCGGCTATTAGATAGGCATATGGATGATAGTATAAGGTCGGGGTGGAGGTTAGGTAGATCTTAGGTTTAGGGTAAAAGTTCAGCACAACATTGTGGGCCGAAGAGCCTGTACTGTGCTATGTTCTAATTGATTCATGGTCATCATTAGATTCTTAAATCCAGATACTTTTATTGAATTCACATTCTACCATCTGCCATGGCAGGATTTGAACCTGGGTCCCCAGAATGTTATCTGGGTCTCTGGATTAACAGTCCAGTGATAAAACCACTAGGCTATCACCTCCCCTTTCTTATAATAAGAGGAAGCTAGATAAACACATGGACAATCTTTAAATTGCCACAAACAGGTGCAAAAAATAATGAGGAATGCTAATGGAATGCTAGTCTTTACGTCTAGAGGACTGGGGTACAAGGATACAGAAGTTATGCTGCAGTTATACAAAATCCTGGTTAGACCCCACCTGGGAGTACTGTGAGCAGATATGAGCACCACACCTTAGGAAGGATATACTGGCCTTGGAGGGAGTACAATGTAGGTTTACAAGAATGATACCTGGGCTTCAGAGGTTACGTTATGAGGGGAGATTATACAAATTAGGCCTGTTTTCGCTAGAATTTAGAAAGTTAAAGGGGATCTGATTGAAGCCTTCAAGACACTAACAGGGAAGAAGTCAGAAGTTGCATGACACCAGGTTATGGTCCAACAGGTTTATATGAAATCACAAGCTTTTGGAGCTTAGCCCCTTCATCAGGTGAAGTGAGAGAGAAGAGCACAGACACAGAATTGATGGGCAGAGATATCAAGGGCAGAAAGATCAAAAGATCACACAGATGGTGTGAGTGGAGTGTTGAATAATAAGTCTCTGCAGGAGATCAAAAGTGTCAGATGGTGTGAGTAAAGTGTCAAAAGCTGAATAACAAGCGAAGGGATGACCTATAATCCGATTAAATGTGGCAGAGAGATAATAACAAAAAATTAAAAATGAGGTGGAGCTGGAGACAAACCAAATGGCTGTAATAACAGTCGCATGCTGAGAGTCTAACCAAAGTAATAAGTAATCCAAAACGGTACAAACTAATTAAGGTAGAGAGATCATAACAATTTACCAAGGTGATGGTGTCAAAACAGGACACTAAGGAAGTTTTTACAGATAGAGAACAGTGTGGTGGAGTCACATGTAGCGTGACATGAGCCCAAGATCATGGTTGAGACCATCTTCATACATACAGAACTTGGCTATCAGTTTCTGCTCGGCAATTCTGCATTATTATTTGACACTCCACTCACTCCATCTGTATGATCTTTTGATCTCTCTGCCCATGAATTCTGTGTCTGTGCACTTCTCTCTCACTTCACCTGATGAAGGGGCTACGCTCCAAAAGCTTGTCATTTCAAATAACCCTGTTGGACTATACCTTGGTGTCATGTGACTTCACCAAGCCCAACACTAGCACCTCCACATCATGACTAACAGGGAAGGACAAAGTAGATAAAGATAAACTATTTCCACTGGTTGAGGCTTTTAGAACTAGGGGGCATAATCTGAGAATTAGGGCCAGACTGCTCAAGAAAGATGTTAGAAAGCACTTCTACACACAAAGGGTGGTAGAAGTTTGGAACTCTCTTCCACAAATGGCCGTGGATGCTGGATCAGTTGCTAGTTTTAAATCTGAGACAGATAACTTTTTCTTAAACAAAGGTATTAGGAGATTTGGGCTAAAGGCAGGAATATAGAGTTAGGCCACAGATCATGATCATAATCTCACTGAGTGACAGAACAGGCTGAAGGGGTTGAATGGCCTATGGAACAGTAGATATGCCGATAGAATAAGAGATAGACTGTGTGGAGATTAAACACCAGCACTGACCATTTCAGTTGGATGGCCTGTTTTTCTGCTGTAAACTCTCAGTTACGCTCAGTATAATACTCCAGCATCGTCATCTACATCTCAGACATGCTCTGAGAGTTCTCAGGCCTTCTCTGTTAAAGGACGGGCTATTTATGCTCTTGAGCTACTATAATGCTTGTATACGCTCTCTGCATGTCGTCTACACAGCACTCCACAAATAGTAAACAGCTTCCCACTAATGCAGTGTACAGAGTAGTTGCTGTTTGTTTGTTGTTTTGCTCACTTGTAAGGCAAATCCGCAGCCTTCTGGTACAAGTCCAGTGCCAAAGTTCGCACAGTTGCTGTTGATAAAAGAACAAGCACTTCCCTCCATGTCCACAGCTGTAAAGTAAACAGTGTCACCACCAGCTCCATATGGGTTGCCATAGATGGACTTACTGTTTGCCCTAACAAATCACAGAACGGGAGAGGGGAGCAGAAGGGTTAAAATAAAGGAAATCGCATGTCAGGAGTTCTGAAGTGAAAATATATCATCGTTTTTTTCAAATCAATTAAAGTTTATGACTAGCAAACTGAGAATAAGAACACATGCAGTCCATTGGGAATTGAACATAACCTAAGAGGAAGCTGGCTGAAGTCAGATGCAACCTAATTGGGCTCTCTAGCAGATCCAAAGTATAATATTCAGAATGGGTCAATACATAATTACTACTACATACGTCGCAATGGTTTCATTACTGGTACAGCTCCAAATATTAAACCTTCCAAATAACTTAAGTCCTATACTTTTAACTAAGGAAAGCAGTGAGCATTCGGTAGTCACCATATAAAGTACTGAATGGCACATGAATTTGGCTGTAAATAGCCTCATGTTAAATTAAGTTACGATTTAATTTTTGCCCAAAATAAATGACTTGTCTTTTGAAGGGGGCAGAGCTGTGTGAGATGCAAGAGTAGAGGGATTTGGAGGTACTGCTATACACAGGAACATAGAACATAGAACATTACAGCGCAGTACAGGCCCTTCGGCCCTCGATGTTGTACCGACCTGTGAAACTAATCTGAAGCCCATCTAACCTACACTATTCTATTATCATCCATATGTTTATCCAATGACCATTTAAATGCCCTTAAAGTTGGCAAGTCTACTACTTTTGCAGGCAGGGCATTCCACGCCCTTACTACTCTCTGAGTAAAGAACCTACCTCTGACATCTGTCCTATATCTATCACCCCTCAATTTAAAGCTATGTCCCCTCGTGCTAGCCATCACCATCCGAGGAAAAAGGCTCCCACTGTCCACCCTATCTAATCCTCTGATCATCTTGTATGTCTCTATTAAGTCACCTCTTAACCTTCTTCTCTCTAACAAAAACAGCCTCAAGTCCCTCAGCCTTTCCTCATAAGACCTTCCCTCCATACCAGGCAACATCCTGGTAAATCTCCTCTGCACCCTTTCCAATGCTTCCACATCCTTCCTTTAATGCGGTGACCAGAACTGTACGCAATACTCCACGTGCAGCCGCACCAGAGTTTTGTACAGCTGCAACATGACCTCATGGCTCCAAAACTCAATTCCTCTACCAATAAAACCTAACATACTGTACGCCTTCTTAACAATGCTATCAACCTGGGTGGCAACTTTCAGTGATCTATGCACATGGACACCGAGATCTCTCTGCTCATCCACACTACCAAGAATCTTACCATTAGCCCAGTACACTGTATTCCTGTTACTCCTTCCAAAGTGAATCACCTCACACTTTTCCGCATTAAACTCCATTTGCCACCTCTCAGCCCAGCTCTGCAGCTTATCTATGTCCCTCTGTAACCTGCAACATCCTACCGCACTATCCACAACTCCACCGACTTTGGTGTCATCGGCAAATTTACTAACCCATTCTTCTACGCCCTCATCCAGGTCATTTATAAAAATGACAAACAGCAGTGGCCCCAAAACAGATCCTTGAGGTACACCACTAGTAACTGAACTCCAGGATGAACATTTCCCATCAACCACCACTCTCTGTCTTCTTACAGCTAGCCAATTTCTGATCCAAACCACTAAATCACCCTCAATCCCATGCCTCCGTATTTTCTGCAATAGCCTACCATGGGGAACCTTATCAAACGCTTTACTGAAATCCAAATACACCACATCAACCGCTTTACCCTCATCCACCTGTTTGGTCACCTTCTCAAAGGAGGTTGGTCATTCAGACCCTTCATGTTCAATGATCTCTGTATGAGCTTCATTTGCCTGCCTTTGCTCCACATCCCCAACTCCCTCATTTAACAAGCATCTTTCAATGGCAGTCTTGAATCTTTCTTATATATGTATTAGGAGCAGAAGTAGGCCACTGAGTCCCTCAAGCTTGCTCTGCCATGCAATAAGATCATTGACTGACCCAATTATTCCACAATGCCCACTAGCCCGATAATGTATCACCCCCTTGTTTACCAAGAATCTATCTACATCTGCTTTAAAATATGAAAGGACTGATAGGCTGTGACAATTTTCACCGGAGCATAGGAAGTTCAGAGGCAACCTTATAGAAGTTTATAAAATAATGAGGGGTATAGATCGAGTTGATGGTAGTTGTCTTTTCCCTAAGATGGGGAGTTTCAAGACTAGGGGACACACGTTTAAGGTGAGAGGAGAGGGATTTTAAAAAGACATAAGAGGCAAATTGTTTACACAGAGGGTGGTCCTCATGTGGAATGAGCATCCTGATGAAGTGGTGGATGTGGGTACAATTACAACATTTAAAAGCCATTTGGATGGATACACGAATAGGAAAGGTTTGAAGGGATATGGGCCAGGAGCAGGTAGGTGGGACTAGTTTAGTTTATGTTTGGCATGGACTGGTTGGTCCAAAGGGTCTGTTTCTGTGCTGTATGACTCTGTGACTCTAAGACCCCTCAAGATCCTATATTTTTCAACCAAGTTATCTTTTACTCTTCTGAACTGTAAGCTGACACAAACATGGACTGTCTGATCTTTCCTCATGAAACACCCACCATTCCAAGGATTAGTCTGGTAAACCTTCTCTGAACTGCCTCCAGTGCATTTATAACATTCCTTAAATAAGTAGATCAATACTGTACACAGTACACCAGATGTAGACTCACCAATGTTCTGTATAACTGAAGCATAAACTCCTTACAGTTTTTTTCAATCCTCTTTCCATTAAATGATGACATTAGCTTTCTTTATTGGCTGTTCCTACCTACTGACTTTTCGAGATTCATGTACTAGGTCACCCAGTCTCTTCTGCATCTCAGAGCTTGCAATGTTTCACCATTCAGGTAAACTACTTCTTTTTTATTCTTCCTGCCAAAATGGTAAATTTCATATTTTTCCATATTGTATTCTATTTGCCAGATATTGGCACACTCATAATCTTTCTACATTTCTTTGAAGTGTCTTTATATATTCTCTGCAATTACTTTCCTGTCTATGTTTGTGTCATTAAAAATTGAGCAACCATATCTTCCATCCTTTTATCCAAATCATTGATATAAATTGCACAAAGGTGACGTTCCAGCAATGGTCTCCAGGACACACCACTCTTTACATTTTGCCAACTAGAATCCAACATTTTAGAAAACTACTCATTTATGCTTACTCTCTGTTGCTTGTTGGCTAGTCAATCTTCTGTCCATACAAACATGTTACTCCCTACAACAGAAGCTTTTATTTTCCACAATAGACTTTGAGGTGGCACTTTATCAAATGTCTTCTAGAAATCTAAGTACAGTGCATCCACCTGTTCCCCTTTAATCATACTCCATGTTATTTCTACGAAGAGTTCCACCAAACCGATTAAATTTACTAAATTCTCTTTCACAAAACCACGTTGACGCTACCTCATTATCATGAACTTATCTAAATGCCCTGCTATGGCATCCTTATGAAAAGCTTTTAATGTCGTCCCTATGACAGATGCTAAGCTAACTGGTCTACAGTTTCCTGCTTTCTGTTCCTCTCCCTTTTGGAGCAGTTTCATTTTCTATTTTCCAATCTAATGGAATCTTCCCTGAATTAAAGGAATTTTGTAAAATTAAAAGCAATGCATTAACTGTCTTACCAACCACTTCTTAGAAGTCTTGAGGATGAAGTACATCAGAAACAGGCATGTCAGTCCCCAGCTCCAATAACTTGCACAGTATCACTTCCCTGGTGATTGCAATTTTTCTTGTGTTCTTCCTTCTTCTTTCCTGATTTACAGCTATTTCTGGGATATTGTTTATATCCTCAATTGTGAAGATCAATGCAAAATTAATTCTCTGCATTTTCCGTTGTTAATCCACCAGATTCACTTTGTGGGAGCCACGCCCAATTTTTCTTTTCATTTTTAAAATATCCATAGAAACACTTCTCAGCTGCTTTTATGTTAATAGCTTTTGCTTGTCCTATATTTTTTCCCTCCTTATTCATCTGTTAGTCATTTTTCTGTTAGTTCTTCATATTCTGTGCAAATTTCTGACCTCTACTCACCTTCATCCAATTAGATAATTTTTTTAAAAAATCTAATACTACTTTGAACATTTTTAGTTAGCCACAGCTGGTCTGTCCTCCCCTTGGAATTTTTCTTTCACATTGGATTGTAACTATTCTCTGTTTTCTAATTACCTTCTTAAGTGTCTACATCTCTACTGACCTGGCCTAAATCTAATTTGCCAGTTCACTTCAGCCATCTCTGCCTTCATACCCCCATAACTGTATGTATTTAAGTTTAAAATACTAGCCTTGGACCCAATCTTCTCTCCCTCAAAATTAACTTATCATGATCATTGTTACCTAGGCCTGCACTCACTATGAGCCAATTAAGTATTCCTAGCTAATTGCAGAGCACATGGTATGGTATAGCCTGTTATCTAGTTAGCCTCAGAACATGCTATTCTAAGAAACTGTCCCAAAAAAAATTCTATGAATTCCTCATCTAGGCTACCCTTGTCCAACTAATTTTTCCAGTTGATATATAGATTAAAATTCCCAATGATTATAATTGTAGCTTTCTGATAAACGCCCAATCTTTCTTTCTTCAAGCTCCATCCTACCATGTGGTTCCTGTTAGGGCATGTGTACATCACAGTCACATGTGCATTTCCTGACTTAATCGTTTCTCACCTCTCGCCAAATTGCTCCTATCTCCTGCTTTCCCTAGAGGTAGGTCATCCGTCTCTATCATGCTAGTGCCATAATTAATTAACTGAGCCATCCCTTTCTGTTTTCCTAGCTTCCTATCCTCCCCAGTTTGTCATCTACTTTTCAATATTTACGTCCTGGTCTACGTCATCCTCTGGCCATATCTCTGTAACAGCTACCAGTTTGTACATTTTCATTTCTATTTATGCTATTAGTTCATCTCTTTTCTCTCAAATGCTATTTCAGTTTGATCCAATGCATTCATCGACATCAATGAAAAGAAATCCTGATTTCC